CTCGTCGGTGAGTGCAGTGCCAATTGCCAACTCTGAAGCGTAGGAGCCACCAGTGTGAGCGCGTGTCAATCGTGACAAGGAGGAGTTTCGCTGTTGGTGGTACCAGGATGCAGGCTCCGTTGCTCCTCTCAACCCACACGGTTGATATAGTCGAATAGCTGAGGGCATAATGCATCTGTGTGAAGTACGAACTGGTGTGACACGCATACGCTTTGTAGGGAAGGAAGGGAGGAATGCTTTCTCCTCCACGGCTTTGCATGGCATCGCAGGTGACCAAGTGGGGTAGTGGGATGAGACTGCTCCTGGAGTAGGCAAGAGTCCAAAATTCATGGGTGGAGTAGTGAACTGAGGTGCTGTGCGCGGCCGTGACTGCAGGGAGAGTAGAGAGAGATTCATGCGATGAAGGAGTTCTTCACGGAGTTGCTTTGATAACTGTGTGAGACTGCTCGGCATTGGCAGTAGCTAAGGGTAAACTTGAGCACCGCCGAATGCGATTGAAGGGGTCAGCAGGCATGATTGAAAGGTGTTGGTTGTGAGAGTCGATGGTGAGGTGAATATTGCAGCTTGTTAAGCAGCCCTGCCCCTGTCCAGTTGCCGTTGTGCGCTGCGTCCGACTGCAGCAGTGCGATAGGATTGGGCTACCGAAATGCCAGCTGCGTTGTGATTGTCGGGATAGAGTTGGGAGCAGGATGGGCATGGGCGAGAGCGACACAAGGAGGTGCCAAGTCGAAAGGGACGTGTTTTGCCGGTTTATTACTTGACGTGAGTAGGAGCTTCTTGTGCTGTGCTCCCATGCCTGCGTTGGCATTGACTGGCATAAGTACGGCGCATGTAAACTTGCTTGAGAAGAGACACAGCCGTGTGCTCAGTAAGCAAAGGTTCTGTTCAGTCACACGGTTGCACACCTTTTCCCCGTAGGCTATGGTGCCAGTGGTTACTATGACCAGCCGGGCATGCGTGCATACACGCATCTTTCCATCTCCCCTCACCCCCTCCCCCCCCACCTCTTAGGCTGAGGATGCATGGAACATCCTCGGAGGAGACCAAAGTCGGTGCATCCGTTTGCAATTGCAGTAAGGTGTGAGCCCTTTACACTTGACTACAACTCCTTTCGTAGTGCATATTGTAGCGTCCCAAGACTTGCCATCAGGTAGAAAGAGAGGCATTGAGTTAAGACGAATGCGTGTATTCTAGGGTTCGAAGAGGGACTTAAGCCCGAAGTTGGCCCGAGCGTCAGCTCACGCATACAAGGCCAGACGAATGCAAAAGTAACCGACAGACAGTAGGTGGTTGTACAACCAAAGTAGCACGCATACACATTGGCTAGGCAGCTCATCAGTGCCTCCTTGTGAGCACAGTTCTTCTCTCTACCCTACATTTCACATATGGTCATGACGTTTGTGGATTGCTCACCAGACATCTGCCCAAATTCTCATTCATCCTTGTTAAAAGGACGACTTCACGGTAAATGTATAATATTTAGTCTACGGGACGCGATCTCTTAATTTGTGATGTGTTTGAGTGCATGGGTGTGCGCTAGTTGCGTGACTTGCACAATTTTGAGCTGGAAGGTCAGGGTTGACTTTGAATTGGAGGTGGGTGGGGGTTGGT